AGGGGGGGACATGGACTTCCCCCTTCCAATCTCTGCTCCCTTGTACAGACTGGGTTACCCTGGGCTATGCAAGGGGCAGGAGACATTTCCCTGCCACTTGACCTAAGCAGCCTCAAGACTAGGTGTGCCACACTGCTTGTGCCTCCCACCTCTTGTGAAGACCATGATGCAGTTCTATGTACTACATGTTCTAGTTCTACATGCAGGTATAGGGCAAGGGGCTATCCTTCACAGAGCAGCAGTTTCCAGTTGCTCACTGGCAGCCTGTTCCCTTGCCTGGGGTGGGGGAACCCAAGAAGCAGCCATCTAGTGCCTCCTGACTAGAGAGCTCACCTTAGAGGCATTTGTTTAGCTCTCCAGCTAGCGGACAGGAATACCTGCACGCCCCTGTTAATCCAGTGCTAAGAACACGAAAATTCTCAGCATAGGAACCGATTATGTCTCTCCCTATTTTCAGCCATTAGCTTCCCGCAGCATTATAGCTTTGTTCTCCATTACTCCTACAAATTCATATACAGCTTCTTTTTAAAGCAATATAAAACATAAAATAAAATATTAAGAGTGGTCAAGAACAGGCCATACAGGAATAAGGAGCTAATGCAAAATTTCAATTTAAATTGCTACTCATTTATCTATTTAATATAAAAGTGGTACTGTGCGTGTGTGCTGGGGATTTTTTTTTAATTTTTTATGATTGATTGGTTGTTATTTACCACACCTGTCATGAAGGAATTTAAAATTTGTCCATGTTATCATAATCCAGAGAACTAGGAGCATGGCACAAACCACATGCCAGAACTCTGAGAAGGTGGGGGAAAGCATCAAAGGGCTGAATATGGAACTTTTTCAGACTGGAACTGTTACCACGCTAGATGGAAGAGGATTGTGTAAGCTCACAGTGCACGAAAGCTGCAAGAAGAACGTAAGAATTTTCACTGGAGTCTATATACCCATATTACTTAGCATTTAGTATGTTGTATTATTATGAAAACAAACACAAAAAAAACAAAAAAAAAATACCCTTACCTTTTCCCCATTAACTGAAACACTGAGTATTCCAATGCTGACCTGTAACCAACGTTCGGTTGGATTAAAAATACTAAGTATGGTTTGTGACGCGATTCCCACACAACACACATTAGGGAACTTCAACTCTTCTGGTACTCTCACATGCCCTAGGAAAGAAGTGTTTTAGTGACTGTCGGTATTTGGAATTCTGCGGTTAACATGACATGCAGCATAGTAAAAAAGCCAGGCACCAAACTGGCAAAGTTAAAAGTAATTTTGTGAAGCTCGCTTCACGGGTATGTCCATATACCAAGCATAACTAATTGACATAGGTCTCAAATATTATGGTAATCTCCTATAAGACTGACGTGTGTTAAATATTATGGGCTTTTTTCCTCTAGGTTCTAATGTCCTTAAAAAAATACTTAAGGACATAATATTCTAAAGGCAGTAAGTAACGCCCACAAAAAGTGTTGGATGAGCCATACATGGCTCAAGGTTTGAAGTCAGGGTAAACTGTACGCACCTCAAAACATTGTTAAAACATCAGGTTCACAATATTGATTAGATTTTAAATCTTTAAGAAACAAAAATTCCCATTTTTGGCATTTTTTTATACAATTACAGAATTGAGTGAAAAATTAGACACTGCTATGTCATTATAGGGATGTCTGCTTTTATTTATTTATTTAGAAAAGGCTACCACTTAAAGCAATTTACACAATCAGATTTGCTGCACAAGATAGTGAGTTTTTCATTCCATAAATACTGTTTTTACTAGGGATGCTGTAGTGTTTAAGCTATTGTGATTTTTGATGGCAAGTATAGCTTCTCTTCTAAAAACCTACTTCCTGTAGATTATTAAAAATACATGGGGAAGTTGTTTCAGGTTTTAAAGCTACATTTCACTTTCCATTTTATGAGCCTTTTCCATACATTACGTTACTTAAATTGAACAAATTCCTTTTGGCCTCTAACCTTTACTTGCCCTCAGTTCAGCTACTACAATCCTACCCCAAGCACATGTGCAACAGAAAAAAGGATGAAAAATGTATTATTTTTCCCCATCTCAACTCACCTTTGCATCAAAACACTTCAGACCAATAGTCTTAATACTTACAGAATTAATTCCCTCAACTCCATTTAAAAAACCAACGAACTAAAAGCTGTGGGAGCCTAAATTTATTTCAGGGCTTCTTTGGAACAGACAAGCTTTTATTTAGAAACAATATACCCAATTAAACAAGCATCGTTAACAGTATGTTATGGTAGAAATCAGTACTCAAATAAGTATTGCCTAAATTAATTAAAGGGAGTGAATAGAGGCATGTCAGTTTGTCAACAACGAAGCTTCAGCTAGGCAACTGCATGGAGAGAGTTTTTTTTAATTTTTTTTTTAAACACACAGCAATACAGTAACAATGGGCATCTGGTCAACCGAATAAATATAGCTGCAAAAAGCAAGGTACTGTATTTTAGAAAATACTACATGAATTAGTCATGACTTCTATACTGTTCTCCCCCACCTCCAAGAGGATGACCCAGGTGTTATGATTAAGTTCAACAAAGATACCTGCTCAAATGAAATCAACAGGAAAGAAATTAAGAGGAAAGAAGAAAGAATTAAAATATTATTCTGTATTCAAGTTCAAAAACAGAGAAAGTGTTATACAGCCAGGAAGTAAATCAATGACAATCCCTCACCTTGAATACTATGTTTAGTTTTGGACATCCCATCTCAAAAAGGGCTCATCAGGGGAAGTGCAAAGAAAAGCAACAGATGTTATTAAAGGCAAATGAATGTTTCATAACAAAGGTTATTGTAACATTTAGGTTATTTAAGATTAACAACCAAAATGAAGACCAACAAATAATGGAAGACCGAAAATAGCATTTTTTAAATTCTCCTTAATAAGAAAAAGAAGGTATAAAGCAGTGTCAAAAGCTTCTTCTACTTCAATAAAGATTACAGGAATAACTTACCAAAGCCAGAGGATGACAGTGACTCCCAATGTTCAACCCCACAAGATCCAGGAGGCTGGCCAGTGTATGAATTTGTATTCAAAATATTCTGGTTCCAGGAAGCGGTACATGGATTACAAAGAGAAGCTGTACTCAAAAATCCAGGACCAATGCTTGGTCCTAAAGGAACTCCCATGGCAACTGAACTCTGAATGTGTCCTGCTGGGATACCAGAACAATGAAGTCCCACTGGAAGACCAAAACCTGTGGAGCTGCCACCATGACAAGGCGGCAATGCAGTGTTTCCGCTTGACTGCATGTTTCCTAAATACTGTTGTGCAAATGGAGTTGTGGCAAGTGAACGTCCAGTAAGTAGCGTTGGAATGACAGAAGACACTGGTTGAGTCTCAGGGGCAGACCCAAGAGACTTAAAGCTTGAAATGGGAATATACTGCTCCCCAGAAGTGTTCTGATTTAATGGCATATAGGTACCTATTCCAGTGTATGTAGGTAATATATTTACAGGTGATAATCCAGACCTTTGTGTTTTGTTTGTATGATCCTGCCACGCTGCTGGTGTATCAGCCTTAACAGACAGTGGCTGAAGGGCACACAACTTGTTTGATAAAGCTGTGTTAACATGGTCCAATTCGTTATGGCTAGATGTTGCATTTGGAGGCGCAAACTGATTTTCATTTTTTGGCAAACACTCTGACAACTCGCTGTTTGGTGCTCCTTTAAGTCGGCTGCAGGAGGAATCTACAGATTCCTTTTCTTCCAATTTTTGATTCAGGCTTCCCCGATTTACATCTGATGTCATTTTTCTATTTCTTTGCCATGATAAATCATGAAGTTTTTCAGCTGGCTCTTCCGATACTGGAGTTGGACTTGCTCGAACGATAGTTGTGCTCAGCTCAATAGCATCTTCACTCTTAGTAGAAGAAAGTATAAAATTGATATTACAAGTTGTCAGAAAATAAACACGGTACATACAAAAAGAGTGAAGAGTGCTTTAAGCAGACAAGGTTCTTTGGGTGAATCTGATATCTTTTATTAGACTAAATAATAAAAGATACCAGATTCACTGAAATAACCTTGTCTGCCTATGTCCTTAGACCAACACGACTACAACCTACACCCCTGTAAGAGTGCTTTAAAACACTTACACATTACAAATTAATCCACAGGTTGATGCAGTCTGTAAAACACATTTTTTTGTTAGCTTGTTTCTCAAGTCCACTAGTGTTTGTAGTTGCCTCATCTGAGTATCCATTTAAACTTGTCCTGGTATGAGTGATAGGTTAGCTTAACAGCAAATCTCTGAGAGGTAGTCAGAGAGCTCCATACTAGGCCTGAGAATTATTACCTCTTCAGCCAGAAAGACACTGGGTAAAGTCAATACTGCTCTCTTACTGACTTCTACCACTTCCAGAGTTGTAGCTCTGAAGTGAAATAGCAGAAACTAACTGGATTTTCCCATACCACCTTTGCTTCTTTTGGTGTCTAGCCAGAAACAGAAATGTAGTATAGACTTTTTCAGTTACTCAAAATAGCCTCAGTTTTGCATACAGTTCAGGTATGTATGTACTGCAATCTAAAAGGTGCAACGGCACTTGCATAAACTTACCTATGCTAGCCTGAGTAACTAACAGTACACTGTTCATTACAGACTTACCTGAGGTAGCTTGAATGATCCATATGCATCTGCAGCTTGCAGAGACTATAAAGTCTAACTTGGACCTTGAATAAATATTCCTCTGACTAGCCTCACCTGAGCAATATGCTGCCACAAACTGTGATAAGTATATGCGCTAGCTCGTTTAACACCCATAGAACCCCTGGATTGTAATAGAGACATACTGCAAGAGCTAGAAACTGGCCTTACTGGGAGTCTGTTCAGACCAAAGCTTAAATGTTGAGATAGCAAGATAAAAGAGGTGTTTTACGAAATGCCATATTTACAATACTATCTGCTTCTATATTGATAGATCCCTCTCAATATAGAGATATATCCACACACACACACACACACACACACACACACACACACACACACGCTGCTTGTTGAAAGCAGATGCAGTTAGTTTGTGACATTTCCCAGCTCCATTTCTGTCAATCCAAGGCTGCACAAATATTTCAGACCCAATGAAATGAAACCAGGGCAAGGGTAGCTCAGTCTTGGTGTATGAAAGGGCTATGCAGTAAGCAGGCCATTTGATCAAGCACAATTCTCCTCTCGCAAGGAACACCAAGTCCCTGACCAGGGAACAAACCAAAAATATCAGACTGAATTTCTATCTGCACATACTAAGAACTCCTACTTTTTAATGTGCCTATCTTTTGTTAATAAAACTGCAGAAAGTAAAGCAAAAAACTCCTGCTTTGTTCTTCAACACCAGGGGTGGGCAAAATACAGCCCACAGGCCACATCTGGCCCGCCAGCTGACTGGACCTGGCCTGCAGGCGGGTGCCTGTCAATTGATTGCATCTGACCTGCAGTTGCCCCCGCAGAACTCCCCATGGGGCTGAGCCCCACCTGCTCCTACCTAGACCAGAGAATATCATGCTCCCAACCTGCACCAGCCTGATAGCCCAGCCAGCGCACACAGCTTCCCAGGGGCTGCTTCCACAACTGCCACAGCCACCTGGGTACTACGGCCTACTGCAGCACTCCCGACAGCAGAAAGCATAGGGAAGCAGCAGTGGGCAGGGGGAAGCTGCAGCCAGGCAGCCCGTGCCCCAGTGCATGGGGCTCCGGTTTTCATTCCTGGCCGCCTTCCACCCACTTTGCCTGCCTGGTGCAATAAGCAACCAGCAGGCTGAGTGGGTGGAAGGCAGCCCTACCAGGAAGCTGTGTGCACTGGTTGGGATCAGACCGTGATGGGTGCAGGCAGAAGCACAGGCCAGAGTAGGTGCAAGCTGTCCCGGGTGGGAGCAGACAGCAGTCAGCCCCATGTGGAACACTGTGAGGGGAGCCCTACCCTGCGCCACCTGGACAAGCTCTGCTGTGTGTACTCCTTGCTCCTCTCTTCTTCCCACCCTCAAGCCAGCTCCCAGGATCTGACACATGTGCAGCCCCCAACATGTGCACACAACTGCCCACACACCCCCACCCCCTCCCCACATAATATACAAGAGTAAAACGTTGTTTTGAGCTATTATGCAATCACCTCTATATACACTACTCAAAAAACATGCCATGAAAAAATATTTTGAAAAATAAATGAATGAACAAAATGTTATAGACAATGCAAGACCCAGCCCCAAGGGTGACTGTGACACCCCCTGGTTGTCATGTCTCCTGTCTCACTCTGGCTCCTTAGGGTACCCTCCCTTTTTACTTTGCCTGCCTTATCTTGATGTAACTTGTAGGGCTTAGGGAGGCCCAGAGTCTGAGACTGAGCCCAGCTCACCCCAGCTTGCTGGTCTTCCCTGTGCCACGCAGCCAAGTTTTGCCCTTTGGGCACTCCACTATGGCCCCCGAGCCCTACCAGTGCCCCAAGGCAGCAACTGCCTTATGAGTCATCTGTCTTTCACTACTGCCATGTCCATGCCTTGCAGTCCTTTGAGTTCTTCCACCAGGCCCTCTGGCTCCTTCCATAAAGCAATCCAATTCAGGACGCTGGGCCCCTGGCCTTGGCCAGGCTCTCAACTTCTCCCCAGTCCCTTGACCCTAGTTTAGCTTCTGCCCCTCTTGGGCCTCAGCCCTCTTCCCCAGGCCTTAACCCACAACCTAAACCTATTCTGGCTTCAGCTTCTCTAGCTTTAGCCTCAGCCATCCCAGCTTGACTCCTCCAACCCTCCAGGCTCCTGGCCCCAGCACAGTTGCTTTAGTTCCATCCCAGTCCTCAGCTGTCTAGGCCCCTGATCTCAGGCCGAGCTCCTCCCACTGGCTTTAGCTCTCCCAGCCTTGGCCCAATTCATCTACAACAGCCCTCTAGGTCCCTGACCTCAGACTAGACTGCTTATCACAGAGTGCCCCATCATCCATGACTTCCATCCACTCCTTTAGCCACCACCTAGTCTTCTGGTTATAAATGTAATCCCAACAAATACCAGCAAACTGCTGCCCAAATAAAATTCACCCCACTGGGTCACTGCCTCCTCACCAGCATAAATCCCCCTTAGCTCTGTCCTTCCCATTCTATGGGGCAGCTTGGGTGCCTGCCAGTCTGTCTCCTGCAGCCATCTCCTCAGGTGCTCCTCTCCCTGCAGCATGCAGGGCCAGACTGCCCACTTGGTCTCAGGCACTGGGTTTATATACTCCAAAGCCCCACCCCACTTCCTGTGATGCGACTTCCCAGCCACACACAGTGGTTTCTACTTTGGCTTAAGTGCCAACCTGCCCTCCCCTGCTGCAACTTAACCCTACTGCTTGCAGCTTTTACTTCTGCACTGCTGATAGGTCTGTCCCATGGCTGCTTAGTACAGGGCAGCTAGCCCCATGATATACTCACTCCTCTGGTGGTAGCACCCGTCCTTGCTGTCTTTGGCCTGCTTACTTTCTAGCATCTGGCCTTTGCCTAGCTGCTGGCCCCACATAGCAGCTCTGGCTCCTTGTTACAGCCCTATCAACATGCCCCACGAACTGGTCTGAAAATGGAACAGGACATATCTAATACCTGTAAACTCATACAGCAAAATATCAGGTGTTTTGGGCAGAGGTTCAAAGATAGAAGATACCATGAATTTGCTGTGACAGATGAAAATCGTGTCCAAGGTACTTGCTGAACACTGTGAAGATTAGACTGGGTGTTTCTTGTCATTTGTTTATGTATTGTAAGCTGTTTGTTGCTGCTAAGAGCCTAATTAAAAAGTTAAAGAGTAGTGAGGCCTTGAATGTAGTACGGCCTTGTATGTAGTGAAGCCTAGACAATTTAGCAAAGCCTTGTAGAAGTGGTAGCAGGCTTTGTGGCACAGTTAAAAATCAACCTCATCAGAAGAATGTACTGCTATTGGTCAGTTCTAAAAATAATTATAATGGAAGAATCTAAATAGCTATAAAAGTTATCAGCATAGCTCAGAAGTTAAACTGGCTAGCACATCCGGAAGTCATTTAAAAGGAAAATGCAGCTCTGTGAAAAAGCTACTGATTTAGGATTACCTGCTAACCTGGATTCGGTGGGCCCAAGGACTGAATACCAGAGTCCTTCCCGGTACCCCTTGGACAGTGCTGATCGGGGACGCCTAACTTCACTAAGCTTTGCAAAAGAGAAACTTGTTGTACATCAGGCATCAGAGGGGACTGCCAATAAGTTGCCGACGTGAATTACTGTTGTCTGTCTTTGTTGTCTTATCATATTACACATAGTCAGGTGTTTGTTAAGTCAATAAACCTTTCTTACTTTTCTACCCCTGACCACACTCTCAACCCCGAACCCTCCCCTGGTGGCTGAGACAATTTGTCTGTAGTTTTGAGAATTTCCAAAAGACTGAAATACTAAAGATGGAATTCTTTTACTCTGCCACTGAAAGATCAGGGAGGAACTGAAATCTCAGCTCTTCATTTCCAAGCATTTGTAAGCATTTGAAGTAGACAAAAGATTGTAAAAACATGTTTGAATATTAACTGAAAAATATCTTCCTTATTTTACTACTCAGATTTCGGTCCCAATATGGTACTATAATCATTTAATTGTCCACTCTCTCAAAGAAGCATCTGACAAGTAACATTTCAGCATTACTTTCTCAAGTTAAAAAATACCCTTGAACTGACTTCAGTGAACAAAAGCAAAGAAGGAAACTTTCCTTGGAGAGTAATCTTTGAAGTATTCACAAGTGTGGCAATTTTTAAAGTTAAACTATATGCAAATTCTTTAAAACATTTAGTCTAGACTATAAAGTTAATTACATGAGATTTCCCCCTCTTCCCCCCACACAAAAGACTGGTACGTATGTGATCAGATAAAAGCTAACTTACCCAGCATCTTTCTACACTAGACACAAGGGCTGAGTTCTTAAGGGCACTATCAGTTGAAGAAATGTATGTTAATTGGCTTATATTGGAACTAGAGCATACTGACTGAAGCAGTACACTGTCTTTGCAGGAAGTTTTCTGAAAACAGGGTGCTGTGTCAGAAGAATCAACTTCAGATCTGAAGAAAAGGAAATGAAAAATGTGTCAACACTGACTGTATCATCACCTAAAACCATAATTTACGTACTATACTATCATTCTAGCCTTTTTTCCAAATTCAACTAGTAGACTATTTAGTGATGTCAAAGAATGGCTGAATTACTTAACCAAAAAACTGCTCCAAAACCTTGTGCCAGCACTGGGAGTCTGAACATCAAGTCTTAAGCACTTATTTTATGCTTTATGTAAAAGCTGAAATTCTACCCTTGACTATATATGTACAGCTCCCCAGTTTCAGTAGGATACAAGTCTGCGAAAATTAAACTAAACTTCTGGTACGCTAAACTTAAAGTGACAGCAATAGCAGTAGAACCTGACCAAAAACAGAATAAGTAAATTGCCACCAAGCCAAGGAAACATTGACTGCAGTCACATTTGTATATTTAGTTATCTTTAACTCCCTTAGGAGCTGTTTGACATTCAGAAAATCTAAAGCAGATTTTTCACAATGGGTGCCCAGTATTTTTCAGCTCACACCTACCTAAAAGAATTTGACTTCTGCTGAAAAAACACTTCTCTGTGCATGAGGTGAACTACAAATGCTTGAGACTCATCTGCATTTTTGTCATTGTACCAGATACTTTAAAGTTACATTTCCTATATTACAATAAAAGCACTACAGTACATTTTAAATATAATGCATCTTAATTTCTAAGAAAAAACTGTACCTCATAGTCCTAAGACCTTTAGCTGCATGTATATAATATAGTTAAGTACAGATCACAGTTATGCAACTTAAGCTCATTTTTTTCCACTGTTAAAGTAAGAGATTAAATTGAAACTGGCCTCTTGCAAAGTACAAGTATAGATCAATAGCTATGGAACCAGATATACTTTTACAACAGAGATGGCGGGACCCAGAGAAAACATACGGCCTGCAAGGGGTTGTATAGCACCTACCCAGCCATTGGCCCATTTATCTCTCTGGCTGCTCCAGGTGAGCATACAGCATGGCAAAGCAGTCAGGACCTGCCCATCTGCATGGTGCAAGGCAGAAGGAATGCAGCCTGAGGGGCCCATGCTCATGCTACTGCAGTCACTGCTGGTGCAGTTTGTATGGTGTGTGGCCCCTGGCCACTTAGATGTTGGACAGCTCTGATTTAGGATAGCATATTTCCCCAAACCACAGTTGTATTATGTAAAGTGTACTTTAGACACAGACCTACAAATCCAGTTTAGGCTTGACAATGGTCAGAATCTGGAGTTCACTAAAATGGTTTTGTGGTCCTTTATGGTAGCTACAACAGAGTAACTGATACAAACTGTCAGCTTGAGCATGAAACAATAATTATGACAGCCACAAAAATTAAACCAGATATTGGAAGTTTTATTTGAAGTGATCCTTTAAATGTGCATGTTGCCAGCAGGAAGGGGATTAGGGTGTTAAATGAGATAACCAACAAGAGACGGCAAGATTACCATCCACCATCTTGCTCTCCTTCTCAAACCAGTAGGTAAATATAGAAAGTCAGCTACTGCTCAGACATACTGCCATTTGCAAGTTTGGAAAGACTATGTACAACGAAAGACATTGAATAAAAAGTTTTACCTAGCTAAAACAGGAACCTACCATATAGCAAGTTCAGAAGCAGACTTTTCAAATAATTCAACAGGTAAAAATTCAGCATAGACTATTCAGAACGAATAATTCCTCTCCTCCCCCCCAAAAAAATGTTTACCCTGAAACAGATGTTCCAGAAGCTTCACCGGGAGAAGAATGAATTAGTGGTGAAGTGGAAGGTCTGAAGCTGTATTGCTCATCTTCTGAAGACTGCAAATCACATTCAGGAGCTGTTGGCTTCTGCTCTGTTAAAATAATAATTCTGCTGGTGAAATGCCACTTAAAAAGAGCAAGAGAGAGTGCAAGAAGATGACAGTTAAGGCTGTATGGTTACTTACCAACACTCTTCTGAGACACCTCAGAAAGTTTTCCAGAAGTCAGATATTTTTTATCATTACTGCAAGCAGTACTAGCTTCCTTAATTCTCTTTTGCATTTTTCCCCCTTGTCTTTCATCCCTGGTCAGTTGCTGTGTAGACTTTGCTTTGGTAGGATAATGAATACTAGATTCCTGGACAGGTTTTAAGTTGCTTATTGACACTGTGCTTCTGATAGCAGTTCTATCCACTGACTTACTTGGTACAGGAACAGTTAAGTTCATCGCCTTATCAGTTATACCGGTATGAGAACAGCCTGCAACATGACTGGTTTGCTTACTAGATTGTTTTACTGAAACAGACTTGACTGTACGTGCCACCTCCTTTTTTGTGGCAGAATCATTTAAAAGCACTTGTGCTTCCTTTTCATTAGATATATTTCCTGTGTCTAGTACATCCAAGGTCAGGCTAGTTCTCTTTGGTTGTGGATATTCACTTATAAAGTCTGATGCTTCTGAAGATTTAGCCCCAATTATAGTTTTCTTTACATCCAAAGGAAAGTTAGATGCACAAGAAAAATCTTGAGTGCTATTTCCTTCATGTGTCATTTCCTTACAGTTCAGAAGTTGGTTCTCTCTTCTTCGATTCTTATTATGCATCTTTAACAAATCCATTGCAAGAGTATCTTGATGTTTATGTTCATCTGGTAAAGAGCTATCCCAAATATGGTCCTGGATGGATGTTTCGTATTTTGCAAAGTTGTCAGGCTCGCTTCCATGCTCAGGCTCTTCTGTTTTTTTAAGGTATTTCTCCATATCAAATGCACTGTTTTCTACATTGCTGGATAAAAGCTGATGAGTGGAGAGATTTGTATCCTTATCAGCTTCAGGATGTAAAGATTTCTTTAATTTTTTGTTTGAGAGTGCCATTATCATAGCAGCTAGCTGGGAAGGGTCAGCACTAATAGAAGCATTAGCAATTGCAGAAGCTATTGTACTAATGCTCAGAACAGAGTCTGTGAAATCAGGCAGCTTGTATTCAAGTTTACTTCTATCAAGTCGTTCCTACAACAAAAGAAAATTAATCAAATATAGCATCTGCTTTTTTAAAAACAACTCTGCATTTCAGCCTTAGCTTCAATTCTTCTCAATTTACTTTTGTCCAAGTGCTTTTGAATGTGTATCAGGTAACTGTAATCAGCACTTGGATAAGTTAGGTCCAGGCAATGCAGAAGTTTCAAAAAGTGCCTAGAGTAGTTAATAGAATGGCCTGAATAAGTTTAAAAGAAATAGTTCAGAAAACATGGGATTCACCTGGACAAACTGGGACCAAAGTCCCAAAAAGTTAATGGAAACATCCAAGATGACCCAGAATTATGGTAGTTTACAAGGAGAGAGGCTACTAGCACAAACTGGATGAAGAAAAAGTTAAAAGATGCAAAACAAGTAGACTCACTATATGATATCTTTATATCTCCAGCCCCTGTCAGGGGTGGAGAAGAAAAGAATTTTCTATTGGCAAATAGAAAGCCAATTAACTTCCACCATCAGAACTCTTAGGTACCTAAGCTAGATGGAAGAGCAAAGGAAAAAATTAAGCAAAACTAAACAGACAGACATTGCATGCACTGGGCAAGGTGACTTGATAAGAAATCTGCATTAGTGGTGACAAGCAAAAAACACACCCCAAAAAACAAGACTATATTAGAAAAGGTACACTTTCCTGAGCTGCAGAGATAAGAGAATATTATAGAGGCATAGGCAAGACTGACTAATAACTATGGCAGTATGCAATCAGATGGAAGATCCAGTCAGGCTTAGTGTATTTAAACCTTGAACTATCTGGCCAGTTGCAAGTTATCCCTGCTGCTTAGGAAAGTATACTTTCTTCTTCTTTTTTAAAATTCTTGTTAGTTACTGGAAGCCTAGCTCTCTTCTGGCTTCCTATAGAGCATGAGTATCAAACATACCTACAGCCTCAAGACAGATCTTGGACTAGGAGGCCCCTCATGCGCTGGGTCAAGTCCAGGGCACAGAGTGGTGTCTGTCACCACAGCAGTGGTAGACAAGTCATGGTCAAGGTACACAAAGGGTGGTATGCCAAAGAACTGCAGGGCAAGTAAAGGCTGTATTGTGCAGCTTTTTGTTCACCTACCTGTCACAAAGCCATGCCCACTGGGCCCCAGATTCCATGACAGGCCACTCACAACTTCTGGTAGATCACCAGGCCAGAGGGAATGGTTCTGTAGATTAGGTCTAGCCCACAGGATGTACATTTCACACACTTACTACAGAGCATCCATAGTTGGAAGAGACTCTTCTCTCATCTATGAATTTATCACCCTGGATGCTGTTAAGACGCTGTTCTGTTTAACACATTACCCAATTTTAAAATGGAAGAAAAACAGAAAAAGTAGGAGCCCAAGATGACAGCTGAAGGAAACAAAAGTGTCAAAAGACAGCCTCTTTAGAATGCAGAGACCCTAGACAATCAGAGACTTCTGCTAAATCAACAGGAGAGCCACATCTGATGCGATCCATTTAGGTTACTGGGTTCCCCGCCATCCATCATGAAAGGTCAGTTTTGACATTACCGTGGAAATCCATTTTAATTTTCAGAGAAAATAATTCAGATAACTCTGCCTTGATTTTCCTATAAATACCTCTGCTTTGCTTTCTGTGACAGTATGCATATTAATGTTTTCATTTATTCTGGGTACAGCTTCCATATCAGCAATAGTGAACGCGGTTGACACAGAGTTTGTATATTCCTTTACATGCACGTCTCCGTCTTCTGCAAGAGAAAAGGTTCAGAAATAGTTCTGGATAAATGGTCTACATTCCTAGGATGTATGCACCACTTAGTGCTTTCTACACATCAGTTAAGACTTAGTTTTACTTCGTATATCCTACACACAAGAGCACTAGCCCTTAAAAATATAATTTTTCTATAATATTTCTATAATAATTTTTGGAATATTCCATTTATATTCCTTATATTTCATTTATGATGTGTTATATTATAAAAAATACGTTTGGGCCTTGTTGGGGCATCTTTACTGTACTCATACTATACTATATACACTTTGGTCTTTAGCAGGAGGATTAAGGATATAACACCTTGAGTCAAAACTCATTAAAAGGTTATATACAGGTCAGAGGACACCTATACACAAGTGTGTAGGCTATTCTGATGCACTGTAGTTACAGTGTGTTGGAGCAGACTTGATTAATTAATTTAGTCTGCTGGAGAGTGGCAATTACCACACTCCAGCAGATTCCTGCATCTCAAATATCAGCATCTCTACACTTAAAAATGGCAGCAGGGGTGCTTGAACTAAAGCTCAAATCAATGAGCTGTAGTTCAAGCACCCCCATCACCATTTTTAAGCGTGGGGATGTTGATACACAAGACATGGCAGTGCCCCCTTACCTCCAGACCACATGTAAAAAGTGCCCACAGAGGCAAATACTGATACACAAGATGAGTTTAGGAGGGACAAGCAAGTGAACTTGAAGAGACAAGTTTTCAAAGCAAAGCAGCCTTCATAGCTGCCAGACCAAACAAATTGGCATACAGACATTGTATGAGTAAGATAAAGACTCATAGTTATGGATGAAAAGCTATGTGTTTGGAGAGATGGTGTCCTTGAAACTCAGAATACACCCCAAAGAATGCTGAAGAGCGGTAACGAAGTTAATGAAGGGAATGCCACGCTGAGGTTTTGGTGTTTTGTCTAGATTTGCATCTGTTAGTCAGTCTAAAGTAGAGTGTTTTTAATAAAAGATACACATCTGCCTGAAAGCATAAAACAAGAATGATCATGCAGTTGGTTCTCTGGGAAAGGGTGTTTTTCAGCTACTAAGGTACCTTGGGAGCTCACTACCAGTCAGGGAATCAGTGGCACTGAACTATTAGGTTCAACTTCTATTAAGTAACAGAAGTCTACAGTTTATCTAACATACCTGGCAGAGATGATAATGTAACCTAAGCAGACTAAGCCAAAGCTCAAGCAGTACCTTAGTCCAATAATAGGATCTAACCAGTGTTAAGAGTCCAACAGGGAGATCCTGACCACTGCTTTGCTGTCTTTCATGTCTAGTCAAAAGGATTCCAAAGTGATGAAGCCAGGGACCTTTCTAGTCCAAGAACTAGTTATTCCAAGTACCTCTCTCCCTGCAAGTATTATCTACGTAGATTTCTATTCAGAGATGAATAGTAACAACATCTTAAGGAGACCAGTCAGACAAGTATTAATTAGTAAATTCTGATCAGCAACCTTGATTAGAAGTCTCCCATGTAAACTGATATGTAGCGTACCAACTTAAGATATCACTAAATGCATATGAAAATGAACAGATTGTACAAGACTGCTTTTCCTGGCCATGGTGCAAAGTCAGAGAAATACAGTACCAGGAACTGACAGATTGGATGAAGTAGTTCTAATAATTATTCTTCTTATAATTACAAAAAACATCAGGGTTTCTCTTTCGGCAACAACTCTTCATGATGAAGAGTTTATTCATTAACAGGTCTATTTATTAAAGTAGGTGTACGTGTAACAGCTCAAAAGCAGTCACATCAGTTTCCGTGTTTAAATCCAAGTAGGTGGCAGTTCATAAGAATTTATCTTTCCAAAAAAAATTCTTACACAAGAGGATATGAAAAAATTGAGAAACTGTGTACTAAGAAACGCAGATGCAGTTCTTGAAAGAGACTTCAGAGTGAAGGAATAGAACAAAAAAAGAAAATGTAGTTTCTGCCTTGGTTTTGAATCTTCTGCATAATCTTGCTTTTGGAGAACATCAGGCGCATAACTGTAATAGAGGCACCCAAGACCTGGCTAAATTTTACCAGTAACAGGGTGGCTGCTGACGTTTTTTTGACTGCTTCTGGTAACCTCGGCAAGCTAAGCTACACTAAGCAAAATGCAAGAGATAAGAGAATAAATAAGGTGAAGAAGAGACATGAGGGATTAACAAGCTGGCATGTTTCAGACCATGCTTGTGACTGAGTCCAATTAGGCAGCGAGGCCATCTGGGTCTTCCTTTCTGGTCCAGATCCTGTAGGACATCATTAAAAGCCATGGAGAAAACCCAGTGCTGTTGTGTTGCATTCTGGTATCCCAAGTGATGCTTCAAGTAGCAGCCATCACAAAGCTTTTTTTTTTTTTTTT